CACAACGTCAACATTGACCTAGGATACTGCAATTAGACAAACCATCCTTTTATGAAATCGTGTTCAGTGTGGTTACGTTTGGGGGTGCCTATCAGCGCCCCCAAACGTGAAAATATCACTTTTATTTCAACTATGAATATATTAACTAATATGGGAAATTACGATGTACACTTATTCAATGAGGGTGGGTAACTATTAAGGATAGAACTGATAACGGTATGGATAATAAACATTGACAATTACGTCATTAGCTTTACTAGCGTGTTTACTTTTTATATTCCTGCTACATGTGACCAGTTCTTTTAGTAATCGTGAGTTCTTTTTTTTTTTCAAATGAATGTTATTTGAACCAAACAGCTGTTTCAAAACAAACTGTTATTGTTTTTACTTTTCTTTGTTTACACTTATTTATTTAGCAATTAATGCAGTGAAATTGATATAAAGGATAGGTGTGACGATTTATGTGTACTGTGAATTTTATTGGATATTATCGTTTTATTTTAGGTCGTTTCTATTCAGACCTACTGGAAATTGTGTATAGTAGTTGTATTGTGGTGATAATAATTATGGAAGAGGCAGGTATGCTATGGAAGGTGGTATCGTCGACTAAGTCTATACACTTCTTAATTGACTATTACTCTCCCTACTGTAGGCTACTTATAATCATTGTGCGTCTGTGCGAATCGGCTGCAAATCTCACTTCAACGCTTTTCTTATCGTAAAAATTGCAGAATTGCGGGTTTATTGTAAAATTATCGGATTTAAAATGCATATCGTATATTTCTATGATGGAATAAAAACATATTTTGTCACACAACATTTGTTTACAAGATGATTTTTCACATTAAAACTGCAAGGAACTTTGTCTTTATATGTGTAAACTAGCTGATCTGAATTGTACACGGTTTTAACTGACTACTGAATTCCCGTACGTAGGACGGGCTAACACCTCGTATTATGTAAAACGATTTTAAGATTAACCTCTGCATAAAATTTCATCTGACAGCGTGAACTTTTACTCTAAAACTGACAACTTTAACATCGGAATGGAACGCCTGCTGGAAGGGAAATACACTTCAGGGGTTTTCACATTACAATGAGAACAAGGGTATGATCAGCATTGCATTTCAAGTGGTGCTCCAGTCAAACTAGGGTTGTCAAAGAGCAGATATAACTACGAGTACCAACACACCGGCCCAGGGTGGTGCCGAATCGATACTAGCACTAGCTCTACACCATCCATACACACGCGTCATACGTCTGCATTCCAGTACCAGCACGCGACGGTAATGGTAGTACCGTAGTGATTGAAATGTGTATAGTATTGTAGAGTAGTAAGTTTTACATTTATTTATACAGGGTGAGTTTTAAATGAGTTCCCCCCCCCCTACTTTTTTCTACATTTCTTAAGATATCAACTCCAGACCACGTCAGATCATTGTAGAGTAGTAAGTTCTTCATTTTGACAACAACTAAAAAATAAGTATACACCACATAACATACATAAATCTTTATCTAGCACTATTTTGCGATTATGTTCTTAGTTTCTAAATGCACAATGTTAAAATGGGCTAAAAATAATGTTATAAAAAGTTCTCATTAGAATGGATCAAGATTTTTAAAAACGGGTTGCAGCATCGTATTCAGCATAAAAACTAGTTTAAAACGATGGGTCACAACCCTACCTTTACATTTGAAAAAAAACTTTGTATCCAATATGGCGGATCCAAGATGGCGGCCAAATATTTATACCCAGTCAAAATGAAGTACTTACTACTCTAAAATGATCTGACGTGGTCCGGAATTGATATCTTAAGAAATGTAGAAAAAAGTAGGGGGGGAACTCATTTAAAACTCACCCTGTATATGGTATCTGGTACCCAAATTAGTTATCAAAGAATCGAAAACTAAGAGAGAGATATAATTTTGACAGAAGACCTGTGAGCGGGCATTCTACTATGCTCCATTGTACTGATAACTTTTAGCAACGGCTATCTGGTACCCAAATTAGTAATCAAAGAATCGAAAACTAAGAGAGAGATATAATTCTGACAGAAGACCTGTGAGCGGGCATTCTACTATGCTCCATTGTAATGATAACTTTTAGCAACGGCTAGTTTGTGTTCGTGGGGTGTGAATTTTACAATCGGGGAAAAGTTTAGACACTCAAGTTCCAGGCTCTACAGAAAAGTAACGTAACTACTTAAAACACGGAGTGCATTAAAATATATCTTAGTTTTATTCTACGTATTCCTATAAAAATATTTTTTTGTTAGCTCGTTTATGAATAATAGTTTCCAAAAGTCAGTGATACTACGTACAGGGTGTGTAGATACAAACACTCTTTAAAAATGTGTGTAGTTGTTCTAAAGATCGAGATATAAGAATAGATCACACGTACAGGGGTCTGAAATGCATGGGTTCCTGTTCTGTCCGTCTGTCTCCGTGTCTTTTGAACAAATATACATGGCTTAATAGACCGACTTGATCACAAAGTATCAATTTTAAAATGTATGCCAATTCAAAATGGTGGCCATTTAAACAATTTTACTTTAAGCATCTTACCTTCTGTGGTGATTCAACAAACCCTAAAAAGAATATATTTTTAGGACACTAATCCAACGGTACATAGATCGGCAATCCGCTCAAGAACAACCTAGATCAGATGACATAACTCTTGAGGTAAGAATACACTTCTTGTACTGATCTGATGGTGGAAGCGTCGAAACAGTAGGATACACTTGGACCACAGGGGGAAATAAGGTAATTTAACCTTTTTTATTGGTCAACTAATATGTATCGATTTTTGTGAGACCTTGCATCGCCCAGATCTAGTACCTCCCAGAACAGCAATGAGAACAAACATAATAAAATCCATATAAGGCCAGGGACACACTTGCCACTTGCCGGCAAACTGGCCGGAATATGAAAACACTGTTCCGGCCTGGCGAAACATCGGGTCCGGCGGGGGAATGCTCCGGCGAAACCACCCTTTTTTTAACAAAACCAATTGTTTTCAAAATTCCGATTTTTCTCTTATTTTAGGGATTTATTAAATGGGGAAATACAAATAACGTAAGTTACAATAACTTTTGAACCTAAATTTTTACAGGAATTGGAGTTATAACATTTTGTTCACAATTTAAAGGGCTACAACAGCATAGCCCATAAATAGCATAGCATAGATGAAGTTCTATGATACTACATTTTTATCAAAACCGTTCAGGTCATTTTCGATAAAATTCGATTCTTCCGTTACCGGTACCTATTTTATGGATTTTATGGGAAAATCACTATTAAAAATATAATTAAAAATACCCCCGCCACAGCAAACCTGCAGACTAAGCGAATATCCATTTACCTGAGTGGATTTATACTAAAATATTCCCTAAAAATTGTCAGATGTATTTCCTATTTAAATAACATTAAATTATATTATTAGATTTGCTGCTACAGGGAGGATATTGAGGTTTGTTTTTTTATTGTTGATGGCTTAGTATGAAATAAACCAAATTACCAAATTTGGTTAAAATACAGTGTATATCCATAAACAAGCAAACTACAACAGTTTATTTATTCTCCATATAAGAATAACATGGGAATTTTAAATTTAAATTTTCCTAAATTATCTCCATAACCGTTGGGCGTACAAAAACGCTTTAGTAAACAAAATTATTTATTTATTTAAGCTCTACAAAATGGTTTGGAGGGAAATTATAAAATTTTGTGTTTTATCAATTTTTACCCCATAAAACTCCCCATAAACCCACGTTCCCATAATCCAATCATGCTGGTTCGCGAACTCGTTCAAATGCACGTAGGTTTACACGTTTGTACCAAATTTCATCAAAATCGGATCGTTTTTGCTCTAATCGCGCTAACGGACAAACACACGCACGCATATATTTGTATATATGAATTTGAACGGTTTGTGTTTTTGTTCACTGGAGAGCTCAAAACGAAAACGTAAATCGGTCCCGGGTCTATGTCTTACCATGAGACCTACGGTAATAGCTTATTTCCTATACGGGAAATTCGCTAAAACGAAAAAAAAAACTTTTACAGATACCAAGGATTAGTACCTACATACCAAATTTCATCACAATCGGACAACGACGACAGGTGTGCTCTGTAGCTCTGTACACATCCACACATACATACAGAAACACACACACCTTGTAAATATTCTTCTTACTATTGTTGCTCTTTTTTTCTAAGTTTTTATTTGGTGTTGTCACCCTTTGATAGGTACTGCTTTTGTTTTCTTAATTTATTTGTTTTTTACACGTTTAGATAATAAAACCAAACCAACAACCAACAAACAGGTGTTGGTTTTTGTGCTGTACCTAGTAGCAGTCTTATGTCTCTTACACCCTTTCACCTCTCTAGAACAGCTAAGCGAGTGTAACTTAAGGAATGAGACTCGCAACATGTACTAGAGTTAAGGCATGGGACTCGCAACATATACTATGTATAGGGGGAGAAAGTAAAAATCACTGTACAAATAGCGGAACTAGTCTTATCAAGCACGCAATTTTCTGTTTATGAATTAGTTTGACACGATCGTAGTGTTTAATCTATTTTTATTAATTGTGAAGAGGGCGATACAATAATTTATCAAAGGAGGAGCCGAACTGAACATTCGCTAACCACTTTGTCACACTTACTTAACTTTCTAAAGTGAGTCAACTGTTATTTTCTTACTATAGTAAGTAAAATTAATCCATGCTAGTTACTCTTCGAGTAATCTAGGCATTGTGTACTGGTCGGAGAGTCAACTAGATATAGTTTTAGCCTTTCTTTGCTGTAAGATAGGAAGAAAAATTAGTATTATGGCTGATAAACTTGTCCTTGGGCGGTACAAGAAACATCCAACACAAACAACACAAACAAAGAAGATTTATTATCTTTTGTTATATAAAAGTCGTTTACGCTATAGGAGTCATAAATTATCATAACTACTGCAATTCATTTTCTCTAGGTCAGCAAAGTCAGCTTACCAAGACGGGAACAACCAACTGGTACTGGCGTTGGGCAGCCGTTCTGAAACACAAGTTATTGATAAGTGAAATTTGAACGTTACAAGTGGTCATGCGAGGACGCAGAAGAAAACAGTGTAGTCAATAATACACAAATCAAAACAGTTACACTCCACCATTATAATTATAGAAACTAAATTTAAAACAATTTAAACCACCATTGGTTGTAGACAAAACAGTGTTACGTTCGCTTTAACAAACATCGTCGATTATACAGCCTTAATTCATACAATTTTATGTAATCAAGTTCTCCTTGGCTTTACTAAATCAGCTGTTAGGATAAAAGAAATATCTAGCGAAACAAAAACAAAGTAAATGAAAATAGTGCAAAATGTATTCATCGTGATCCGTTTTTACTGTCATAATAAATCACTATTTACTTTCAAACACGCCACCACGAAACTTCACATGATTAGGCCTTGATTTAAAAGGGTTGATCTATCTACCTGTGAGTTAGATTCCAACCCCATCGACCTATAGTACTCGCATGCACCCATAACTTACAAACAGATACCACATCTTCTTAATAATATTAAATTGATTTATGTTAGATAAATAAGCTAGGACATCAATGAAAACACTAATGGCTTCAAGTTTTTCACTCGGAAAAGGGAAATTTAGAAATAGAATGTTTTCCTTCAATTTTACAAGACAATTTTGATTTTCTACTAAGGGCAACTAACGCCATCATACTGATACAAAAAATACCCCCGTCGCAGCAAACCTGCAGACTTAGCGAATTTCCATCTGCCTGATTGGATTTAAACTAAAATGTCCCCTAAAAATATCACATTTATTCCCTATTTAAACAGAATAAGTTTAATGAGTACTTAGGTTTGCTGCAACAGGAAGGGTAAAAAAGTTTTTTTAATGTAAAATATTAAAAGGTACTGTGGTTTAGTAAGAAATTAATGTATTTTCCAAATTTGATCAAAATATGTTCATAAACAAGCAAACTACAACAGTTGACTTATTCTCCATAAGAATAACATAGGAATTTTAAAATTACAATTTTTTTTTAATTTTCTCCGTAACAATTAGGCGCATAATAACGCTTCAATATACTAAATTATTTGTTTTTTTAAGCTCTACAAAATGGTTTAAAAATAAATTGTGAAATTTTGTGTTTTTAGGGTCAAAAATGGGAAAAACCTATTTTTACCCCATAAAACCCCCCATAAACCCCCGTTCCCATAGTCCGATCATGCTGGTTCGCGAACTCATTCAAGTTTATGCCGCCTTACACCTTCAAACCAAATTTTATCAAAATCGGACAAAAATTACTAAAGTTATCGTGCGGATGGACACATATATATATATAGATATAAAAATTTGAACGAATGGTGTTTTTGGCCTCTGGGAACATCAAATTGAAAAGTAAATCGGTCCCGGGCTTAGGTCTTACCATGAGACCTACGGTAATAGCTACTTCCCTATAGGGAAATTCGCTAAAAACTTAGCAAGACAAAAATTTCAATAAATTTCCCAATTTGTTAGTGTTTAAATATGGACTTCAACTAAATAAATTGATTCTCTCTGCACGACAGTATGCGAACTTAAACTGTACTGTAAGTTATATATAATCAACAACAAAGCATAACTTAATAATGCGTCAGTACACATTACCATTGCTTTTTTTTTGGCGATTGGGTTGGGAAGTTAAACACGATATTGCAATCACACGATATGCATTTAACTTTGTTCAACAATCCTCGGCCCTGTGTATTGGGACTAATGCAGACCAGTTTAATCTAATTTAGATTAAATAATCGCCTCGGATATATTGTCTGATAAAGGTTTCCTCTTGATATTCATAATTTTGAAACTACAGTACTTCAAATATATTGTGTATGTAGTTCACCGGTGTCCTTTATATATATACTTTAAATATTACACTGGCAGACATTAGGATTTGCACTGACGCAGAAGAATGAATTATATTCCCAGAGTAATTCCCTTTTCACCCGACAAAATTATCGACAAGAATATAAATAAATTTAACACATTTCGTCCAAAGACTTTCGTAAAACACAAACAAGATGTAAATCTTCGCAATTTTCGAAGTTTATGAAGAACTAACATTGTTTGAAACAAACTAATTTTAAGGTATACATCAGTTTGGAATATAATATAGAGAGCCTTTTGGACTTAACAAATTTATCGTTACAAACTATTGAAAAAAAACATCCATTTTCCTCAGAGAATACTCGAAGAGCCCACATTATAAAATTCAGTTCACAAAAAAAACACACTTATACTGTACTTGATACCAGCGCAAACAAACGTTACCTGCGTTGACACATTAAAACAGGGCTTCAGGCTTTAAAATAGGCTTTTATATTGTCTACTTGCTATAGCCTGATACAATCGGAAAGAGGTTAACATTTTAATATGTGTATAAATAACCTGATATAAATGTTGATAGTTCAAAACTAAATTAATTAATTAATTAATTGAAATAGTTCCTAATTAAACAAAAATAAAATAATGTTTACCTACGACCGTTTTTTAAAGTAGCCATTTCAGTTCAGTACTTTGAATTGAAAAGTTTTACTTAACAGCTGTTTACTTTCATAACAGCATAGTTTATCTCATAACAACACAGGTAACGGACCAATGAGGTTCAAGGATTGAGAGAAAAAAGTAAAATTGTAATGCTTCGAACGTCAACTAATCAGCTGTCAGCTGATCAGTTGACAATTTCAATTGTTGATCCGACTTGTTCCTGTTGATATTCGCGTATTCTTAACCTAAGTTGGTGGAAGTTAAAGGAAGTTAGATTAAACTAATTTAAAAATGTCAGTTAGTAAAAGTAAAGTTGACGAGATGGAAATGAGAGCACAAAATGTTTGTGCTAATCTTTTGCCACCAAAATCGAAACAAACTTATGACATTATTGACATTACATACTAGCAATTTATTAAATGGACGAAACGAAATAAGGTTAAACTGATAAATGAAAATGTGCTTCTGGTTTATTTTTAAAACCTCTTAACCACTTTTTCACCCAACTCGTTGTGGACCACAATATTCGATGCTGAGATCTAACTGTAAATTAAATGTTACACTATTATTCAGTTGTCCAAAAAAATATGCAATATTTCCCTAATTGTACTTGATACAGTATTTATGGTAAGAATTCTGCTAGCCTATTCACTAAAAAAAAGTAACGTGTTGTTGTATTAATAGTCAAAGGTATTATTTAACGAAGTTGTATAAACACGTAATTACATGAAATCAGCTGATTATACAATCGTTGCATCACTTTCAGGGGCAATGAAAATAAACGAAAACATAACCTCTCTTAAGAAGTTATGAGTAGTGCTTGTTAGTAATTAAAAACCAGATTGTTAGATTAAAAAACGGTCGTATAGTAGGTAAAGTAGTGTACGCAACTCGCGTTAATAGTCTTTACGACACTCGTGGAAGTTTCGTGTCGTAAAGACTAACTTAACGCAATCGTTGCGTAATCACATTTTTATATGTGTATAAATAACCTGATATAAATGTTGATAGTTCAAAACTAAATTAATTAATAAATTAATGGAAATAATTCCTAATTAAACAAAAAGAAAATAATGTTTACATCATACTAGACAGAAACAGGTATTTTTCCATCCGTATTAATGGGCTGGAAAGTTGCCCCTTACAGTGCCTAAACACGAAAAAGTAACTTTATGTATATTTACCGTGCTCTTAGTCAGCTGATTAAATAAACAGCTAACCGACGTAATATACGGACGTAATATAGTAACATAATATACTAATTATAGGTCTCCAACTTAAAACTTACACTTATGGATGTAATATTAACGTTAAATAACAAGAATTTGGTGTTCAATATCCTTTCCATCTCACCTAAACGAATAATCCCTCAAAACTAAAACATTTTTCCTACTTTCGGAATTACAAATATGGGAAATTCGCTAAAACGCGTCTAAAATGCCGCAAACCCTCGAAGTCACCGTAGCTTTGCTCTTCACACTGCATTGCCAATTTGGCTTAGTGACAGCTGACAGCCAATTCGGATAAGCCAATTTTCACAAGTGTCGCCGTTCAATTATCTACCTCTGACTGGTCTGCCGTAATCCATGGATGGATTTGGATTCACCGCCGTCGCGGTATTAGGCCAATGCGGATTTGCAATGGCTAATCATTAAAAAAACACGGTATTTTAAAGTTTTATTTTGAGAATTTCAAGAAACTACATAATACATTAGTTGCACCCACCATAATGCAGGAAACTGAGTTTTTTCTGGTCAGCTGGGTGGTTGTAGTGCTCACCTAGCATTCAAAAGACTGCCAGTTCGATTCTAAGTCAATAAGTTTTCTGGTGGTTCAAAACTGAACCCAGCTGTCCTTGGTTATTTAACTTACAACAGTGAACCAAGGTCTTAGTTATTTGCGAACACGGGTGTGCTGCTTGAACACGGGAGTGGTTAGCGTCTCAAACAGTATGGAGAGGTTCGATCCCTGCATATCCACAAAACATATGGGTTTGAACTAGTTTTCCCTGAAGTAATTCTTTCATTGAAAATGCCACTTTACTTTAATACTTTTCACTAGTGTATGCACTAACACTGTAGCGAAGAGGGAAACCTTTATGGTTTTCAGTCTGTGTTTAATGTTGATAAATTAGATTTGAAACCGGTCACCTTTATTACTAAGGTCACCACTGGCTTGCTTATAATCACTTATCGGCCGCAATGGCATTACTATCTTTAGACTTAGACATATTTCTATGCTGGTGTAGACATCTAGATGGACACGCTGAAATCCTTTATTAAAAAGTAATAGAGCAGAATACGACTCGAGTATGGCCCAGTCTAAAATTATAATTTCCCCACAGTTGTTTTTACTATGATGGTGGAGGTGGAGGGGAAAAACAAAGCGATAACCAACAATAAGTCTTTTCAGATTTGTTAGGTTAAAGGTTGGTGTATTCAACATAAATTAGTGATTTATATCAGCACACTCTGTTGGTGATTCAATTTAACTAAGTTA